GCATACTGTTCTTGAAAACACCCCATTAAGGCCTGTTGAGTTACACAGCGAAGTTTTCCCAAAGTTATTTCGTGCTCATCCTTACAGCGGTCCGTTGTATAACACGCCCAGACATTGGCCCTATAGGCGCTAGAAATTAAAAAAAAAATGCCGAGCTATTTTTTTTTTACTAGGCTTCTTTGTCTTTGAAGAATTATCTCATGTTTTACTTCTTTGCTTTGCTTTGTACTACTTCAGAAGTTTCGCAAGCTTTGCGATTAACTGCGTCTTAGCTGGTATCTAATTGCGTTTTAGAGTCGCCCCGCTCACCTGGCACTAACGTGGCGTCCGACCTCGGCCTCTGATATACCCTTTTCAGTCACCGATTTTAGCGCTTTATACTGAGTCACGTACTTTGTACCGTCAAAGGATTCGTTCGATATACCAGGCTTTCAAACCTTCTTATCTGTAGCTGTTCTAAACCTTTCCTTTATGTCGTCACGCCTTAGTAGCGTATCACTACGAGAAATGCAGATGACGAGCACTAGACGGACGAAAGCACCCAAAAGGATATTGATTACGATATGCAACCATAATTATAATCTATTTTTCTACCTCATGATGAGTGTGACGACGATAAGGCCGCTAATGTCGTAATTCAGTTGACTACTACGACGGCGCACTTATTGATATAACCGCTCTTTGGTCCTGCCAGTATTTAAGCACCTGTTTTAATAAGGAACGTTCAACATTAAACGAAGCCCTCTTCTTCACATAGAGCGGGATCATATTGTATAAGTATTTCTCCTCTGTTAGGACAATTAGCTCTATAATGACTACATCAGCTTCAACGTGCCGTCATCTCAAAGCTACGAAGGGAACTCTGTCCAACGCTATCAAGGATTAACTCTTGTACGGAGTACGTTGACCAAAGGACAAGTCAGTCAGTCAGTCAGATAAGATAGATAAACATAAACGTCAAGCATTTACCGATCCTGTTATGCCAATCTTTGATATCTTTCCGCGCTTGTCCAGGTGAGATTCACTGGATGCGTGGTTGTCCGTCAATCCTAGCCGATCAATAAAGCCTGGTGTATATATACGATTCAACTGATTTGCTATATACATCAAATTCTTCCGTGCGAAAAGCCTGTAGTCTAACATAATATTAGACTAAAACCACAAGCCTCCCTTCCGTATTTGAATAAACCATAGGCGTATAATTGTTCCATACTCTTCGTCGTGGTGATGGTCGGTTTAGTAGGTAGGACAAATGCTGGCCTTGTTAAACGCGCCGGCCACTGGCGATGCAGTAGCTTTTCTTTTTTACCGTGTTTCTTTTCAATGAGAGGTTGTCTTCACGATGCTTGTACGAGACCGTTATTGATTTCAGAAGGTTTGCTTATGGAAAACTACGGACGTGACAACGGCTAGACACCGGCTGAGGCAATACCAAGACCAAAAGTGATGTTTTGAACGATCTGACCGGTTTTTATTAGACAATTATATTTAAATCGGCTTATTTTGCGGTTTGTGTATGAATCGTCGGTACCAGTTCGCTTGTCTGCTTTAGCTAGCATTATCTGCGGCAATATCTGGCCAACTAAAGCCCATGTTGTGGCACACGAAACATCTGTTCGTGCTGCGGCAGATTGTGTGCAAGTGGTCTTCGCTTTATCATTGCTCTGGAAGTAGGGTTTTGATAGCTTGTAGGGAAACGACTTGATTTAGACGTTCGTATTTTCCTGAACGATCATCGCCAACGCTTAAATCTTAGCGAGTCCATCCCATACTCTTACGGAAATCTTTCAATAATCGAATCTGCCAAAAAAAAATCAACTTTTCTGCAGTTGAGCACTATGTTACCAACTACTTCTGCTTTACCCTCAGCTACGCATGTATGCCATCAAAAACTGTGCGAAGACAGACGTCTCTCTACAGGTTCTGCTGTTACTGCCGTGTAGGCTGTATAGGAACAGAACTGAACCGTAATGAGGAATTGCACGTCAATAACACAACAGTCGAGCCCTTAAGTTGATATACGTTTTGTTGTTATATAAGATATAAGTTGTTCGGGCCAAGCGTGATATGGACAAGACACGTTGCGCATGGAAGGCCACATTGGGGCACGTGCCGAATCAGCCGGGAACGCACGCACGTTTGTCTCTATACTTCCGTGAAAGTGAGGACGCAAACGAGAACAAAGCCAGCGACGGTAGCAGCAGCAGCAGCAACAACAAATATTACAGTGGTAGTAATTGACGTAATAGAAATGGTTCAAGCAACGTCTCGCCGAGGGCTATTTGTCGTCTTTCTCTCGATCTTTATCGACATATATCTATCGTTATGGGAGAGAAAAGTGGTGATGAAGCGGTCGCATTGGCGATACTTAAAACAGTAGGACCACTGTCCATATTTTGCTTTTTGTTGGCGTTCGCTAGATATTTTGTGGGTCCGTCCGCTCATTGCTAGAGGAAGCAGAAATCACAAAAGATAAAACCAGTGACGTTAAAGTGGAGTCAGCCGAAGTGAAGGGAATGCCAGGCACTAGGGAGCAGCAGGATTGGTAACAACGGAGAGCGAATCACTTGATTCCAATTTACGTTCGTCGTTTCGGCGAATGTCGCCACAGTCCGACGCTACCGACAACACCGAACGGTGACGAAAACAACGGCGTCGGAGTCGCTTTGTGAGGTTGTGACGCTCCCGTGCTGATGCTTCCCTCGGCGCGGGCGAAAGGCCCGACCAGCAGTGTCTAAGCCGCTACCGCCACAGTCATTTTCTCGCCGCCTTGTCAGCCAGAACGTCAACGCGTCCCCGTGTGTGACTCCATTACGCTTTTTCTCTGTGGGCAACGGTGAGCCCATATGTGCGTGTGTCTGATCATGTTCACGATTTTTTTGCTACGATGGCGTTAGTAGCAAAGACGGTACGCTGGCGGAATATTGCAGACGAAAAATGGTACTTCCTCGCACCTTTACAGGTGCCGTTGCTGTTTCTGAGGGCAGCATGGATACTGTAGTAGCGGAAGTCGCTGCAGTAACGATAGAACTAACAACTCCAGTAAGTTGTCTATGAGCAACAACGAAACAAACTGCAGAAGGTTATTTGTAGGTGTTTTGATATCTGTTGGGCAGAAGATGTAGTGTTATAGGAAATTTGTTGCCTGTAACCTTGCTGATTTTGTCTGCTCCATTCTATACCGTTTCTATTCGCTGGGCTGTACCCTTTCTCTTTCTTCTGGGCAATGACAGTGACAAAAATAATAGCGACAATAACAACAAAGAACAACAAAAACATCCAACAAGGCGAACAGCTCGAAGAGAATCGGATTCACTCGTCTAACTCTACGACAATTACTCGTTGACTACTTTCATGTCCAGCCCGTGACGCGAATACCGGGTCCGATATTGCACCGTTCTTTTCGTCTACTGTCTCTCGAAGCGGTTCTTTATTTTTTTTTTTTCCTTTTCCTTATGGCTACTATAGTAAATCCACCCGGTTTTCCGATTTTTCATTTGTTTCGGAAACGAGACACCCGATTACGACCGCGTGGCCATGAAAAGTGTTAGACAGCACGTACTCTTGCTTTTTTTCGATAGCTCTGCGATTCAGCAAAACATACGCTGGCTGAGAGCTTCCTGCAGTTGTTGACTCTGCTGGCGATCGTTTAGCCTGGCCGTCGTCTGCGACAGTTTTTGTTGCTTTCTCTCATATCGCCTTTTCACGGGAACGGCGTAGAGTGATACGGCTAACCAATATAAAGACTTTAGTACAATTTTTGATTGCTGCTGCTGCTACTCTTGGTGTAAGGCGAGCGTTAACAGCGCTGCCCAAGTGTTGGTTGAATGGCCTCCGTGAGTGCCTACGGATTTCCCAGTGGAATAATCGTTACTCAGAGCCTCTCAGAGTCATTCTTATGGGCTTCCTTAAACCTTAAGTCTCAGTCTGACTACCCGAGATTGAAAAGAAGGTGTGAACACGTTCCGTTGTTAGCGTCGTACCCAACGTGCGTAGCTCATATCAGCATTATTGAGGCAGCGGCCAACTCCGCTACAGACCATAGCGCCATGGTTTCGGTGCAGCTATAACGATTTTGGTGAGCGCGACGACAACGATTGGCCGCAGGTTTTCCATGTGCAGCGCACGTGTGAAAGAAAGTTCACGCCAAAGGATAAGGGACAATACTCTGAAATAGACACAGGCAGATATAGAGCGAACACAGAAGGCGCTCAAACTTGCTGCCAGCGACCTGGAGGACCAAGAAAAGTGTGTTTGAAGGTGAACGGGGTGCCGGTTTGAGGGAGGGACTAAGCCGAATCGTAATGATATTCCGCGGGAAAGAAGCTCGATGTGTATCTTAGGCTTGTGGGGCTTTTGCTGCGCCGGCTTCCTGAGGCTGCAGTCGATGTTAACGCTGGCCTTGGTCCTGCCGCTGCCGGAGGTGGCTGACTCAAAGGAAAAGAAGGTGTCTTTGATTTATCACGGGTGTCGCTGCGCACGTACGGGTAGAAAGAGCTTAGCATCGAGCACCCAGCAGCTTTGGCCAACTCCGGGAATAGAATGGTGACAACGGAACCTTTTGTCGTGGGGTGTAAGCGGTAGTCGCATTAGTCGCACAGTCGAGGTAGATAGACCTGGTAGCTGGTGAGGGAGAAATGGCCGTGGGCACCGTTTTTATTACTGCTGCTGCTGGAATTTATGCTGTAACAGCGCAGCAAATGAGGCGTCGCCAGATTCTATTGATGAAACTGCGGCGAACCTGAGTTGACTAGACACTATTATTGTTTGACCGATTTTCGTAAGGCCGTACCCAGAGCCCCTGTCAAGTGGCTGAGTTAGGAGCGTTTGGTTCCGCGAAGCAATGGTAGCTTTAAATAGGAACCGAACGAATTCAATCTTAGTTGATATTATTAGGGATATTGAAACTCTATCTTGAATATGCCGCCTCTGTTTAACAGACCAGTATATCTAACGAACTATGTCTTTCTTTTCTGCGTTGTTTTACGTAATGTTTACAGAAGCCATACGTATGCCATGCGCCTGGCTGCACCAAACGTTATACGGACCCGAGCTCACTACGAAAACACGTGAAGACGGTCCATGGGGCCGATTTCTATGCGAATAAAAAGCACAAAGGTCCGCAATCGGACGATAATCCCAACTCTGGTGGCGTCGGCTCCGATAACAGTTCGCCGTTAAGTCCTGGAAGTGGAAAGTCGATTCCAGATGCTCCACCTTCGGCGTACACGCAGATAGGCCAGCCGCAAACTCCACCAAGCGAAGGATCCCCAGTGAACGATTCGCAAGTTTCGACTACCACATGCGGCAGTGTAGCGGTCGATTCCCTTGCGAATCTACCAAGCCAGGCACAAGAAAGTCCGTGGGATTCACTTAATTATGAGGTCGACGAGTTTGCCGAAGCCATCACCTGCGCCGTATCTGGCGGTGGTAATTACGGTGACGAGCCTGTTGTACAACGGGCAAACTTCAGTAGCCTCGACCGACTTAAACAACGAATGCAGCCACCCATCCCGTTACGGGGTATGCCACCTCCCGTGGCGCCATCTGGAGGCCTGAATATAGGTGGTCATGGAGGGGGCGGTCGTTACACTGAGCTGCGTACCTGTCACGGAGGGGACGGCAGCACCGCGATTTCTCGCTATGGAGATCACCTCGGCCGGGGCCCACACGGGGCTACACAGGAAACTTCGTTTGTCACGAATGCGCAGGCGATGCGGAGAGACAGCATCGCTAGTACCTATTACGGAAGCATGACATCGGAACAGACCCGAAGCGAGACGAACCGCAGCACGGTCGAATCGTCTGCTCTTAGCGATCCCGTCGCGGTTTCATCGTGCGGCAGCGAAAGTTATCACGCATACAGTGCGTTAGTTTCGCCAGCAACAGGGCCACCAGCGCCCCCGAACCCGAATATTGCCGTACCCCGCAATGTGAACACTTCGAATGACGATTCAGAGAGCAGCACCCTCGCAGAAGACGATGCTCGAGTGCATGAAATGGCCAATGTAAGCCAGCCCCAACAACGCAATGCCGAGGTAAAGCACCTTGGACTGGATGAAATCGACTTGCCCGATGAGTTTGTGAACTTCATCAATCACCAAGAAGGTGGTGATATGCCGCCTTCAGCTAGCCACGCTAATCTGCCTGCTAGACCCGGGTCGGCGCTTAGTTCAGCGGCCGTATCTTCAGTTAGTCAATACGACGAAGTAGCACGCCGCACTCAACCCTCTACTCAGATGGGCCCCCCACAACATCCCGTTCCGCGCTCTCGTGCTGGTCACGCTCGGCCTTATTGCTACCATCAACAAGCGACCAGCAATCTCATGATCTCTCAGCAGCACGATGGTTATGATTATTATCCGCCAGTAACGCCTGCTCCTCCAATTCCTCCCGCAGCTCTAGCTACCCATCATCATCAACAGCAGCAGCAGCCATCACAACAACCTCAGCCGGCCCAGCCGCATCATCGAGCTGTGGCTCCGATCGCGCCTCCTCCATCACAAGGAGCTGCTGCTGGCAGCCAAATGCAGGGTGGCATGCCTGCAAGTCACGTAAATCATTGCTACTATCCAGCACCGCCCGCCGGAACATCGACTGGCATGTCAAACTACCCCACAGTGCACCCCTTGCACGTTAAGAACGACCATGATCGGAATATGAACCACATGAGTTGCAGGAACATACAGCAACAGACGCACTCCCAATCCCAACCGCAGCATCACGGCAAAGTGCCTGAACGAACGGCGTTGAGTAATCAGTCAAATCTACAGCTGCAGCCGATGAATGCGGAAGCGTTACAACACCTCAAACAACAACAGGCCCAAATCGCCCTTCGGCAACAGCAACAACATAATCACCATCAGTCGCAACAGCAAAGGCATCATCAGCCGCCACATCATCTTCTAGGAAATCAGGCTGGAACTCAACATCAAAACCATCAACACCCCGTTGCCATGCATCGGTCGGAAATCCAGTGCCGATCAGTTAGTCAGAGCTCAATGGCGCCTGATACATATCGACGCACTCTGGAGTACGTGCAACAATGCCAGATCAGTTCAAGTTCGGAAAGTCGCCAACAACGGCGAAGTCCACTGCTTCAACCGATGTGCACACGAAACATGGTCATCAATGACATGAGCGCATCGCTTCACACGCTCGTGCGGGAGACAACACATCTTAAGCTCATGCAATAATAATATTCACAATAATAATTCTAATAATGATAACTGTTCCAGCGATAATAATAGTATATGGTAGAAAACTGTATATATATATTTCATATATGTACCTTTATGCTGCTAGCAGTACTTCTGCATATGGTTAGTACGTAACGGCCTATACGAGACAGAGCGTCAAACATTGTCAACGCGTCACTCACTGAGAAACCTGCGAGTGGTAGTGCAATGTAAGACTCGTGCCTCAGATCTTTAAAAGTCCGCGGACCTACTACTGGAAAATATCTCAAAGACAGAACATAGTACTCATCGTTATTAATGATGCATTTGAGGGAAGGCCACCCCGATAGAGAATGAAGAGCGTTCAACTGTGGGTGCATTTGACGATGTGTAGGAATAGACCCCGATTCTACAAATACGTATTGGCGCCTCACGCGCTTTAACTGTGACAGTCATGAAAGCCTTGAAGTCTTGTGACAATGGTCTCCAGTTGACTACCAGGGGCGTGCAATGAACAACATGGATCAGATATTCACCCCTCGATCTTCTAATCATGATAGTGATCGAGGGGTACAGCTTAGCTATCTTGTTTCATCAGATTGGACGATAAGCTTAGCATCATGGTCACCTCTGACGATTGCTCGTCGGTCCTAAGGACCAGTTGCAAAAATAGCGCTTGCTTCGTTCAATAACAAACATGTGGACGCATGTTGTACCTGGTGCATTTTTTACCGAAGGGGAACGCCCCGTATTCCCCATGTAGTAGTGTATTTATTGTTGTCGGATAATTTACAGTTGATCTCATTCAACCAATAACATTACTGAAGGCTGTGAGCAATCGCTCTGTACATATAATAGTACATATACGATATAATGTGAAACGAATTGTATACTGAAGGTACGGAGCGAGATGGTTACAATGGACGTTGAACTCCGATCTTAGAAAAGCTAACCAAACAATCAACGAATCCATGATTAATCAATCAATGTATCTCAGAACATGCAAGAAGAAGGAATATATTAAAATCCATGGAAAGTAAGACACATTTGATGAAAACAACTTGTTGCAACGTAACTTAAACACGAGCTTCGTAGTGTAATACTGTAAGATCTCTTTTTTGTATTCTCTGAAAACACTGTCAGCTATAGGAGGATATTCTTCTACTTAAAAACCCTAAGGACGTAAAATATGTGAGCTTACTTTATATATATATATATATATATATATATATATATATATATATATATATATGTACACACACACACACACACATGTAATATTGAACTATGCCTCTGTGCATTATGATGCAATTGTGCATATGCCTATAACGGATATCTTATTGATGCGACATGTTGAATCGAACAAATGTTTGTTATTAAGTAATAACGAATCAATCAAACCTTCGTTCCTTTTGTCCACTTTGAACTGAGCTTAGGACACATACGATTTCCCGTTTAATCAAAATAGACAAGATCTGATGTACACTGGACGGTATGATTAATATTTCAATTGTATGGTTACTATAACTGGGACTCGAATGCATGATAGAATATTTATGATAATATTTTTATATGAATTTCGAGAAGCTTCGCTGGGAGCCAGGTGTCGACACCTGAGGAACCGGTTTCAAGTATTCTCAATAATAAAAACGTTTCGTGCCGGCCTATTAAGCAGAGCACTGATGAGATATAATTGTTGTGCTCATTTCTAATCAGCTTCTAATAATAGAGAAGTTTGGCGGAAATTTGGGGAGTTCGAAACATCAAACCAACGCTATTGAAGATCATATCATAGCGGTACTGAATGAAAAAACAGGTCTTTCGCATATATTTAAAAAAAAAAAGGTTACTTCTAGAGTAACCTCAAAGTTGGAATCCTTCCAGCCATATACGTGGAAGGAAAATAACAAATCATGAAAATCCTTGCGTTTGGGTAGCACTTGAGGTATTCTTTCGCCGTAATATAGAGACGAAAAGATGCATTAGTCATATTATGAGGAGGGCCCAATCATGTTATAACCTGATTAAAACGTATATTTTTATACCAAACGCGTTACGCCAAAATGCTAAATAATGTCTATAGCACAATTTGTGCTTGTCGGCTTCATCTGTTCGCGGAGCAAAGGGACTAGTTTTTCATCGACAGGTGCCGTATCTCGATTTACAAGCTGTTCCACAACCTTACCAGAGCTGAGACTTAGTAACCATACGATGGCTCTATTAGACACGTAATTGTAAGATTAAATCATTCGGTATCTGGCATTACCATTTGGCGTCGCACTTGTGAACCCGCTACAAAAGCAAACATTGATGCCGCCCAGGCTGTCGTTTCTAAAATGGAGCTTTGTCAGTTAGTGACTTCAGGAAAAGCCAAGCCGATCCGCTATGCGACACCTGTGTAAAGTATTCACTTACTTAGAAAGTTTGCGAAAACATATCGAGTAGATAAAGCAGCCCTCGCACACAAACGGTAAGTTTTCTCTCTGTCGTTGATCTTTAAACTCGCATCTTTTCGAAGGCGGATGTAGCTACCGCGGTAAAAAATTTTTGTTTTTAGTTAGATCTCGTTGTTTCGGCTGATGTTGTCTTGTTGACAACGTTTCGACAGTGAAGAGTGACATCGAGAAAGCGAAAAGGTCTCGTGAAGGAAGGACTGTCCAACAAAAAAAAGCCGGAACTCCCCAAAAGGAAGATTACCTCGCGGTGATCGTAAACTGTGGGGAGGAGGAGGGAATACGACTGAGGTTTGGTTAATTTGTAAATCTGGCCCTGCAGTGTCTCTACGAGAAGCACCTTAGCCCCCTGTTATTTTCAGAAATCAAAAGCGGTACTTTTTAAAGTGAATTGAATACATTTTAAATCGAATCTCATTTTACAAGAGATGATAAACGTGAGTTGCGAGGACATTTCGAGAGCAGTAGATCTATAGTTTAGTAGGACACCCGGTTTGGTGGCATTGCTTCTTCTGTGTAGTTTTTTGTCATGCAGAGAGACACAAGTGATCTTTTTAGAGAATTTGCCAAGACAGATTATCAATTCAGACCGTGTTCTTTGAAATTAATAAATCTGATCTAACATATGTTCGATGAGTTCGAGGGGATCATCTAATTCATGGTGAGAAATTCGAAAAGTGTTCGTGTAAAGCGGTCTTAGATTATAACAATCACAAAAGGATGCTTCATAAGCAGGCAAAGACGATGGAGAGATAAGCCTTTTGATAGACACTCTATTACACAATATTACGTACGTATATATAGATATTATTACCTACATTCGGTCCCGATTCTAATATAAAAAAAAAAAGAACCTCTTTTACAGAATTTGTTGTCTCAGTCTAAGCAAGAACCTTTTTGCAATCAAACGCATTTCAAAATGAAGACTTGGCAATGCACCTCACTGGCTTTAGTCTATCCGGTCTTATGGGAGAGCAGTTTGAATATGTTACACTTTCTGCTTGTGATTTTCCTTTCGCTAGCATGCGTGGCCAATTATACTGCTACCTATAGCTATATTGCTTACGTCCGAACGGCTAATAGCGAAGCAAATCGTACCATAGAGTACCATGTCAATTATAATGTATCAAGTTTGTTTAATTTTAGCTGACGAAATTCGAAGCACGGAGATTATGCTAACCCTGTGGTGAATGGGCTAATAGGTACAGCTTCGAAAGTCATTTCTGCATGACTCGCATTAAGCGACACTCTTGTGCGATTATGACCATGAGAAAAAGGCCTTACGCGGGCAAGCCGTAAGCACTGGAAACGAGTATGTCTCGCCAAGGCCGTTCAATGATTGACAACTGCTTGTAGTCATGAGGCCAATCTGCAGTTCCACCTTTGTTCAAAGAAAAGGAAGTTTTTGCTTAACCACAGAAAGGACAAGAAGGCATCAGAAAGACAAATGCAGCATTAAGGAAAAGCTGGCCCGAGATACGAACAAAGAACTAAATTACATCGCTACCAGTAGGTGAAGTGAATATAAGCAGAAATGTGTTGTAGAAGAGCATGTGTCAGACAGGATATCAGACATGTTTGTCATGATAATCGGACAAATTGTAGAGGCTCCGCCGGATTGTCCTCATAGCGAATGAGGCATTTAAAGCAATGTGACGATATATTCTAGAGCTTTTGGTCAAATTCCGTTCTGTCTTTGTAGATCGTACATCGAAAGGGCTTTCCGTATAATATCTTAAGGTCAGATTGTTAACTTCTTCTTGTTGAAATAAGTGTTTTACTCTCATGTGTTGCTATTTAGAGCACCCAGTAATAAAAATCTTTGGACAGTTGTACCAGAAGACGAATCTATGCTTTTTGTCAACGGGCCTTTCCGCAACCTTCTCCGCCAGACCAGCGTTTATCTAGGGTAAAACACAATCGGTTGTTTCAGGCAACCCGTCGTATTCACTAGAGCCTAATGGAATAGACAATGTCTGTCGTACGTTAAATGGCTTTGTTTAGGTTGAACAGGAGTATGATGTTCTACGTGCGCATCTAATCTCTACTGCTAACGCCGTAAGACTTTCATATCTGGCATTCATTGTATGTCCACCTCAATGTGGTTCATCTCAAAGCTGTACACAGACGCTTCTCCCTATCTGCATTCTTTCGTCTTCGAAAAAAAAAAAGTAATTGATTATTATAAACCCTGTGAGGATGTTTAAAACTAAAAAAATAACACGTAATAAACAGTCGGACGACTTGAATCAAGGCGGCCCTGACGGAGTAGGAAGACTGGAGTCCACGGCACTGCGTCATCGACACTTTGCAGCGAAGAGATCATCGACGCCGTTTCAGCAATCGGCCGACGCTAACTATAGTATTACTACTAACGATAGTGTTAGCATTATCACTACAGTTTGTTGAGCGAGTCGCAAGTACATGGATCGTCTTGGGAACGGCATGGCAACAGCGTCAACGCCGACTGTTTCAGTAGTTCGGCTGACTGGCCTGCAGCGGCGCTAGTATCATCACTAGTGCGGCGCGAAAATTTTAATTTGCGCAGGCGTTTGGAGGGTGGCCAAGCGTGAAATGAGAGGCCCATCGCCGGAATCGCTCCCTAGCGACAGCATCGCACGTCAAATCAACGCCACCACAGCCGGTAGCACTGCACGATCCGGCCGTCGTAGCCACCGCGCTAACCAAGGAGGTCCTTGCTCTTTCCGCCCGGACCCGTTCAGGCAGCATGCTATTGGAAGACACTGTACTTTTTATTGTCGTTGGCGGGACCGTTTTGAATTTCGTTTCGATTTGATTGCCTGTTACATATGCTACAATCGAGGTTGGCCATGCGATTCAGCTGGTTATTAGCGCTGGGCCCTACATCGATCTTGCCGAGGCGTAATCAAGCTGAATAAATGTCAGCATGTCTGCACCCGCCGTTTTGGCTGATTAAGCCACCGTCTGAGAAGCAGTAGCCGGTGCTGAGTATCGATCGAGTAATTGATGAACGAAAGCAATGAGCTAGATTAATTTTCATCAGGGTACTTGTCGACTGGACAGAGTTCCTGAAAAAGTTGTGGGAATTTCTGAAAGAGATAGCATCGATGTTAAACTGAACAGTACACGCTGAAGGCTTTCGCGCAGCTCGAAACTAGAACGAAGCCGAAAATCACAGAAAATAAAGCTATTCAGCATTGCCCTTTTTTTGCAGCAACACCCTTTTTTTGCTAAATAACACTCGAAATGAACTAACACCACTATAAGCTCCGCTACAGGATTACCCCGTGTAGGGCTGCATTGACGACAGCCAGCTAGATACTGTGTAGCTTTTTATAAACCCATAGTAAAATAAATCGCAGTAATTTCTGATTATTATCTAGTCATGTTCGCAAAAAGTTAGGATAGCTCCGAGGCGAAATATTTCGTCATTATAGTTATTCATTTGTAGCTACTATTCGTTCAATTTTTGTAACATTATATAATGCTATTACATCATAATTATAGTTAGATAAAATTTTGTAACGATAATAATGTTATTATCGTGTCTTTGTGAGTACGAGTGCAGTCCTAGCCCTTGGCCTAGCGTGTCTTGATAAATAATCCTATCAATAATCATCCCAATAAGACAAAAACAGAGTAACGAAAGGCTAATGGTCGATAAACTTGTTCAGTAGCTAAGCGTTCAATTGAAATCCAAGTATTAATCAATCGTAACTTACTGCATTGTTTAACACTACTAACTAAGTTCAACTCCTGTGTGTCTTTCTGCGCAAATTTCATTCAAGAAATATTCGTTTCTCTATGAGTTACGTATGCCAGATAATCTATGACAAATGTTACACATATTATTTATTTCGGATAGGGATAGCTGCTGATGACACCTTCAGAATCACGTGTATTTCTTTAAATCGAAAGCCCTGGGCCTTCTTCTAAAACCCCAGCATACTTACTTCGAGCGCAAACACTAATTATGTACGCTTACTACTACTACGTACTAATTACTAATTATGTACGCTTCTTTAAGCTGCTGGCGTAGAGAACTTTATTAAATATTTCTACTTGAAAAATTATATTATAAGACGTCTGTGAAGTGCCGTCTGTCACAAAAACCGAGGGACGAGAGTAACAATTGCCTCAGACTCTGCTTTTAACATCAAAAAAGTTTAGCAAAAATTTGTATATTTTTTTTGCCCAGTTTCATTCCTCGCAAGGCACATTTAATTAAAAGCCAAATGCTAGGAAG